CTGCTCCGACCTTTGGTAACGACCCCAGAGCAAAATAGTGCATTCATATTCAAGTAGCTATGTGTTGTAAGCTGGTTTTGGTTGGGAACACAAAATAGTTGGACTATTCTGAAGGAGGATGAATGGAGCCATGTTTTTGAAGAGGCTTATGTGGAAATCAGTAGTTGGCCATGTGTTACGACAGTAAAATCTGGTTGCTATTTCCGTCACCACGGGTCTTTGCATTTATTTTTCCTTGCAGTATTTGTCTCTAAGGCGTATAGAAGTTGTTAAGGCCTTAGCTCTCTAATAGATAGCACCGTGCAAAGCTGGAGCCTCATCACTAGGTGTTAAGAGTCCAGGCATGTGAAGTCAATTCATGAAAACCCCCTCACATGGATATTGTGCATGTAGAATTAAATACTGCAGTGGGAAAAGCCAACATGTAAGTCCTCTAATACGCACGAATTCTTCCTCTTGCAAATTGATTTAGAGCTAAAAATTGCCTTCTAGCGTGAATCCATTAATTAAGCCAGGCTACATGGCAATAGTTCAGACAGTCTGCAAATTCGGCTAACAATTACTTATGTCACCAAGATGTTAGGTTATCTATTCCAAAATTTGAGACATCATGAGATGCAAGCCTTTTTGGTATTTCTGGCACTAAGAGAGCCTCAATACATTGTAACTTTCTCACATATGTCAGTGTCAAGTGAAATGACCCATTGCTAGCCGAACCATTGCTCATTACCAGTCAAAAGTCGACCTCCCTGTAACGCCGTGTTGGGGCTTATCGACTGCTTCCTATATGTGACAGTGAAAAACGATCCACAAAAACGCATAGTCAGGCATACTTTGGCCAGAGCGTTATATAATTTCTTAACTGCTGCATGCACAAGATGAGCCTTCTCTGCCATCACTGTGATTGTATTTCCCTTTTGTCGCCCTTTCTCGGGTTTCGTCATCGAAAATAATGTTTTAAATTAGGAGGCTGGTAAAAAAACTCCTCACATGGATTGAAAACAGAAACCAGAAAAGCAAAAGTGTAAAGCCTTTGATACGTTCTACTCCTGTTTGATGCGAAATGAATTAAAGTCAGAGATCGGCCAAGGTTAACGCTGCTTTTTAGTGTGTATTCATTAGTTAACCGAGACTAGGAGACATTAGCTCAAACCGGTTCTGCAATTTCATTCAACAATGGTTGATGTCAGCATGACCCCTGGCCAATTAATTTAGTCCAAAAATTGAGACACCTATTAAGGGACAAACTTGTCTGGAATCTTGGCGGTTAAGAAGGCTTAAATAAATAATAACTTTCCTCCGAATTAATGCAGAATTGCAGACAAATGTATGTCAGTGTAAAGAGATCGTATCCCTTGTCAGCCAGCCTGAAAGTCAAACTAATGAGAATTGTTAATGAAGGTGGTGGTCGCTCTGTGACCTCAGCAGTTCCTAACTCAAGCTATATTTACAAGGCCAATTTAGATTTTTCTGAACCATTTAAATCTAACCTCATCTGGAATAATGGTACTGCTTCAAAGCCCACTGAACAGTTGTGAAACCACGGCTACTCACCCGGCATTTGTTTTACTACAGGTATCCACTTCAATCATTTGGACAATCACTTTTATTTTCAGACATTCTCTTCAAAAGCTAAACCCTCTAGGTTCATTTTTTATCTAACAGGGGAATCAAAATAAAAACCAGTCGTCAGACAAAAGGGGATAATAAAAGCTGACGCTTACAACTTAAAAAAAGAAACTTCGAATTCGAACATATTTATAGGCATTGTGGTGAAAGAAATTTGTTATTTTTCACCAAAATAATACAGATATCTCTGTGTTAACTTTGGTTTGTGTTAGCACACTTGATTAAGAGCATTGTCGAATTGGTTACAGGTCTATCGCCTTAAAAGAGGTGTTTAGCTTCGCCCCAGAGTACCACCTGAAAGCGCAGAGGGCTCTGTGATGGTGAGGAGGCCTGGGTTCGCCCATGTCCGGACATAGCGACTGTATCCTGGCGTGCGAAATCTAAGAAGAATACGAACATGTGCACGTTCAAACATACTTTGGCCAGTGGATGGCATAATTTCTTAACTACTGCATGCATAAATGATCTTTCTATCGCATCACTATGAATGGATTAAATTAGGAGGCTGGTGATGTGTTTCTAGAATTGTGCCTGCTGTGTGACGAGGCAAGCTGTAATTGTCACTCGGGGCGGCTAAATATGTGGCCAGTGCGATGGCGAGGTGGACGTGGGAAGAGCAGACGTGGGCGTTTAGTAGGGAGGCAAATAAGTGGGTCTTTTGCAAGTGCTCGGAGAAGCTTATTGCCCAGACCACATTTAGCCACCTAACTAGTGAAGCATTACGAACATTTTCCAGCCAAGGTGCGTGTCACACCATTCCCATAAAATACTTGTCTTTTATCATGATATTACAGGAGGAACTATAACAAGTCATGACTCAAGGAGATGCGACTGCATTCCCGTTTAATTTGTAACAAATTGTTCCATTTCGATAGTAGAAATTTACTTTAATTTCGTGTTTGTCACTCTTTTAGGGGATAACTAGCGGAGTCACTCATATGTGACTTTCCAATTTTACTAGCTGAGGTCAACGTCACAAATGCGTGACGCACTTTCCAGCCACTCACGATAAACGGTTGTCCCAGCTTATACCGCAAATCGATTGGTTAAGAGTAAAAAGGGAAATGGATGTATCTAATGTCACTAGCCTGGGGATAATTACATCTCCCAATCCTCCTATCCCAATGGAATAGACTAAAGGATTAATGACTGTTAGCGGCATAGTGGAACAACAAAGTATATGCATTGAGGTGAGGCCCTAGTAGCAAAGGCGTTAATTATGCATTTATTTATCACTACGGCAGACTCTAAATTCTACTGAAACATCATTTGAGCAGCCTCCTTGAACCACAGTAAACCACCAATGACGAATTCAAATACTGGTTTGACATTGGCCATAATATTTTAACCATCATAAAGGTGTACGATTGTGAAAATCTATTTTGTTATTTGGGCTACATCTTTCAAAAAGTTAAAATTTGATCAAGATAATGATTTGTCTTAAAATTCTAACAGCAAGCTGTCGAATCCGGTTGCCTTGCTGATTAGGCTTCTGCTCAATATTTCTTTTATTTAAATACTGTTGCTCCTTCTTAAGCTTTGGAGTGGCGCTGGAGTGAACAAGGCTACTTTTTCTTCGATAAATTTTATTGCCTTTAAAAATTGCTTCCATATTTTTTTTAAAAGTTTTGTAGTTAGACTTAGCAACCAGCTAATAAAGTGTTGGGCGGCGAAATTTGCCCTTATAGCTAGGAGATACTGAACTGGGTTTGCCAAGCCCAGTTCCTCAGTAGGCAACCCAAATTCCCGTCAATGAAAGGGCAAGTTGTAGTACCTCGAGGCTTACCTGAAGATGTAAGATGACTCAGTCCTTGGGCAGATTATATCTTGTTAACCCAAAGAAGGGTTTGGGAGCTAAAGCCATGACGTGGAGGCCAAGTGACCCAGCAGAGGTAAAATAGCAGTGTTCCTGGTTGGCCCTGAACCAGAATTGGGAGTTTAGGAAACAGTTAACGGATTACAAGGTCTGAAGTGAAGAAATTGAAGGGTGAGTGATCAACAGGGGAAGAGCTGTTAATCAACATTATGAAGAATAAAATAACACCCAGCTCTAAGTAGTCGGGTGGACAAGTCGACTTAAGTTGCCACTATCTATGAGTCATTCAAGTGCTCTTCACCCTAAACCGTGCATGCATTAGGGGCAAGGCGATATTACAGTGAGTCCGGATGCCTTGCATTTGGAGAGTTGGGCAGGCTGGTGGACGGGTAGGAGGCAGGTGATCGTTTTTTGCTAACACACCCGCAAGAGGAAGAGCCTTGGAGGAAGATGCCTCCACTGCTAAGCGGATATCATTCACCATTAAGTTTAGACTGTCTCCCTTGTCCGAAGCCCAAGAGTGAATTATCGTTGGTAAGGTAGTGCTAATCGTTGTGACTTCTGGCAGATGATGGCAAATTTTACGTAAGATGTTATGTTTATGTTGGTTTTGCAGTGAATCCTTTGGCTCTGGTGAAAGAATTTCAACCAAGGAGAATTCACTTGCCTTGGAGTTGCGGATGCCTACTAGTTGTGCTTCCATCCTGAGTTGATGCTGCTGCCTCTACTTCTATTCGCATCGGTCGCATTCTCCCTCATTATTGGCACCTAGTGCTTTGGGGTAAGGTAAATTCCACCATTAGCACGCAAATAAGGGGCAGGGTCTATTTAATATTACTGACTGACATGGGAATTTGTTGGCCAATGCAATGGTCGGAAATTAGACCGTTTTCCGTCAACCGTTTCGTTTAGAGTCGAAATATTTCTGGAGGACAGTGTGTCCAGAGGTAAATGACTACTAAGTTTAGTGGTGGAATTGATGAAGCGAGAGAGTTGCAATGGTGGGCAAGTCGGTGACTCGAATCATGGCATTTGTCACTTGGTACTTCGGTGCCGTCTACGGCGGTGTATCAGTCACAACTGATGCCCACCGCCACCTGTGTGCGTAGCCGAGCAGATTTTCAATGCTTTACTATAGAGCCAAACTAAAAAGCTAACCTAATGCGTATCTCTCACTCTAACGAATCTCACCTTTGGGTGGAGCATTCTACTTCACCACTAGGTACCCATGCAGACAGTCACGGTTTGTTTAATGTTGCCAACTGCGCCTCATTAGGCGTTACTAATGATCATCTTGCCCACGCAAATCTTTGAAATGTACTGATTGATTAAATAGGCAGGTAGGAAGATTAAAAGTCTTTGCATTTTGTGTTGTGCTATTGCCTTCGCCACGCAACCGTCATTCGTGTTGATAATGTCACACAGAAGAATCACCCAGAAGCATAAGTGGAAAAAAGGGAAACGGGGTGGAATGAAATGGAGTGGGTTGGATTAGACTGAACTTGATTGGAATAGGCCTAGGATCTTCTCTGTTTGAGGAAATTTGCACTTCTTCAGTTTAAGTGATGCAGGTGAAGTAAATGGTCACTTCATGGCCTATTCTGCAAATGCACGCACCTCCTCTCGTATTTTCTACGATATTCGCAATGTTAGTGAGGTAGTGAGTGGTTTGTTGATGTGGTATTTGGGTAATGGGAATGGTTAGGACCAATTTTCACAGTTTGGTTAACCGATAGTATGTGGCAAAAGTGGTGACGATGTCTCTAAAAACCCAGTGTTCTCAATGGTTGTGATCCAGTCCAGTGAACAACCAACCGGAAATACTAATTTCCTTCTTTACTAAAGTCTGGAAATTTAAGAGTGAAGTAACTTTATACACACGGCATCTATGCCACACTTTTGTTCTTTTTGATACGAACGAATCAATGTTCCGTCTATTCGTCTTGACTTGGGACACTTTTAAGAACAAGAACAATGCAGATAGGCCCCATTCTAACCAAAGTGTGTTGAATTTGGGCCTAAAACACGCCATAAAAACCTGTGTTGGAGCCACCTCAACGCTCTGGGGTCGGTGAAAGTAGCTACGCACTTCTAAGGTCAAGTGTAGCATGTCAAATGCATCATCTGTCACATATCTGCAGATCTGGCTGGCTAATCAGTCAGCTTGTTTGTCACAACAGACTCCGCGATGTCTACTTCCCAGTAGTTGCTGCGCTATTCACATCTAGTTGTGATCTATGGCCATTTGGAGAGTTTATTATTGTCCCCTTAATTTTACTCCCTTAGCTTATGGTAAACAATTTCGGATTTCCAGTAGTTGCTATGTTAGAAGGGGCCAACGGAGATATATACTGACATCATCCATCTGCACTGATCTAATCGAGATAAAGCGAAAAAATTTAAAAACCTGCCATGGTTCCTAAACCCACCACCTGCTCTAGTGGGTTGAACTTTGGACAAGTTTTCCCATTTCCAACTTCCGTCCATCTACATATCATTGCATGGCATGACTACCCAACTTCAGCTGTAGATCTAGAAATCGCTCTGTATTTTTCCGTCGAATCACAAATGACTTTCTTCCAATCTGCAAAAGAAATGTAAAACAATTCAGCTAGTTGATTCAAAATAAGTCATTTCCTCTGGACAGCCACATGGTATGGTCTCCACTGCAGAAGCAATCAAACCTGAAATCCGTTGAATTGGTTATTACATTGCCTCTAAATTTGAGGTTGACCGTAAATATATGCGTAAAGGGATGCACATTGATAGGTCTCTTCCCCGTGGCAAGGCAAATGCTCTCATTTTACTTAGAATGACATTTTAAATTGTAAAAATTCATGCAGAAAGCACAGTTTTTCCATACTTTTGACCCTTTAAAAGTCTGCATTGAAAGCTTTTGTAAAAGGAAGTTAAATGAACATCAGAATGAATACTGAGGTCAGCATAAACAGCGGCCTATTTGCATAGGTTGTGCCAAGTGGAAGGTTTATATCATTATTTGAGAGAGTTTTTACTACACCTCGGTACCGAGTTGGTTCCAAAAGTGTCACTGGTTTCTACTTTCCTGAAATGAATCGATACTAAAAAGAAGACCTTATTATCGCGTATATGGGAAGTTAAACCTTTCACTGAGTACTAAACAATCTGTGCAGTCTTTTAGTGCTCTCGTGCTTTTTAAATACAAAGACGGCTGCCTTGAGGAGTAAAAAAGCAGGGCTTCTTATGTCCGTGGGGTAAATGAACATCCAAAGTATCACATGGCTCTCCTCTTTTGTTGAGCGTCAACCTAGGCGTTCCCCCTGGTCCTCATCCCGAGTAGGTCATCACAACGTGTTCGAAGCTGTGGATACAATATTCACGACTCAACCGCTCTAGTCGTCGAATTCGAGTGCAGCTGAGACGATACTTGATCGCACAATTTCAAATCGCTCTTAGTTATTCCAAAGGATCTTGAGTTTCGTCTTGTTTAAGAACTGCATAGGAAGAAGAGGAAATGTAATGGCCATCTCATATGGCCATCGTGACTCTCTAGAACACTGGTCTAAAACCAGAGTCGTTTAATATGGGTCGTGCCGAATATAGTGTGGAGAGAATGACATTTCGAGTCTCTTCCTTCTTGCCACTTTGCTCCCACCTCGGCTCTACCCAGACATAACTGTCTGGATCCCACCCAGCTAGTAGAGTGGTAGAGAAGGTACCGCGTATTCAAGCAATTGACATCTTCATACAGGTACCGCAAACAGCTCTGTAACATACATCCCAGACGGTTTCCTTCAAATGTCACTTTAGTTGTTAAAAACATTTCCACTGCCATTTTCAACCCCTTTGTTGGCGCTGGCCGTGAATTTTTCCATCAGCAGCATATGCCTCTTTCCGGTCATGTTAAAGCTTTATTATTCGGGAATAGAAATCGGAATCGGTGTCCTTCTGATTGGGATTCGCTTTCCGCTTTCCGCGCCTTCCAATGCTGCCATGCCTTGAGTACCCATGACAATACGAAATAGCTCAACGAGCAACTATGGTAATAGACCCTTTATTTTTAAAATCATTTACACTTGACTTGGGAATAATTAGTTAAAATCGGTTTCTTTTAAAGGCATAATTTGCATGTTTTATCATAACTAAAGTGGAAAGAAGTCAAAATACTAGGGTAGGGTAGCCCAGCAAAACTACAGAAGCGGAGACTCAAGGTTCCGCAATTCTCAAATAAAGAATTAAGCCAAGTATCGAGGCATTATATAAAATGCAATAAATAATCGGTTGTATGCCCATTTAATAGGCTTATAAATGTTTGACTATAACTTAGTTCCTAGCCACGCTTTTGAAACATGCAATACTATGAGGTGGAATATTTACCTAGGAAAAACCAAAATTCAAGCTCAAAACTTATCTATTTTTTACCCCATTTTGAGGATGAGAGAGATACTGATGCGTCCTCACAAATCCAGTATTTAGGATTCATTTAGGTTAAACAGAGGTTTGTTTTTATAACTTCAGCATTCAAATTAAATGGCATTATAATTTTTCGCTGCTTTTAGAGGAATTTAGCGCGGAACATTTGCCCCGATGCTGCCATAAATGACGTTGAGACATAGAGTGGCGTCTGGTCTGAATAAGAACAAAAACAATTGTTGGTATGATACAGGACTGAACGTGCATTTAAGCTGATGATCTATTTTGGAGAAAAAAAAATTCTTTTTCACTTCTTCCATATTCATTAGAGATGTGGTATTTTGCTTGGGTGTTTAACACTTCGTTTCGGTTTGACGGGCACTTAAGGCTCGACCACGATACTTTCGCTAAGGGGGAAGGCCCTTCGGGCCATGCCTGTTGCACCCAGCCCTTCCATACATGGGCGATACATCTTGTGCTCTATTATCATGTCTTCTGTTGTTTTCAGAAACACTCCAGGAGCTGCATCAGTGGAAGTGAAGATCAAAATTGATACCAAAGGACAACCACCCTGGCTTCTACTGCTGGGTGATAGAACGCAAAGTAATGGAGGAAGGCCATTTACAGCAGATGGGAGAACCTGTGGCAGCGCCTAACAGAAGAGTTGAAAGTAGTGTCTGCCTTCGGCAACTACCCAAGTTTTGTATTCTGCATGAATGATATTAACAATTGAAGTGATACTAACCGTGAACCATGTAAAATAGTTGGTTATGTGGTGTCTGCGGTGCTTATAGGACGATGTCAATCAAGCGAACAGGTGATACTTCATCCACCTCTTCGCTACCTAAATAGTATCTAAATGGACATGGCTGAGCACGAAAACTCTTCCTGATGAAGCTATTTTGGACTTTGTCTTTGATTGAATGTTTCCGCATTAAGGATAGCGTTCTTGCGGTCAGCAATGGACATACGAGATAGATAGTACATTCCCCCTTTCCCCAATACAATTAACGAACAGGACACAACTCCAGCTCCACTGGAGTTGACAGAAGTGATTAGCAACGATGCGGTCAGATATCGCCTTAGTTTCACGCTAATTCGATGCATGATGCCGCTGGACCATGGGGGTTTTCCTTACTGGACGACACGGAAAGTTGACTAAGGGAAGCTCTCCCGATGACACTCAGAAGATGATGGGCTCTCTGTTATACTGTGTTTACTTGTTTGTCTCTGCATTTCGTTGCGCGAACACCTAATTCTCCGCCGATTGTAAGTTTGCTCGGTTGGCTGGGTCTTGGTGCCATGTCATTAGCCCCACTCCTTCTGCATGTCGGCAATACATTTTCTGATCCCGTAATATCACTTCTTCTGCCTTCAGGTAAGATTCAGGGTGCTACAAGGGACTCATTGATATGTCCGCACAAGTACTTATTACGGATAATTTTCCTTCTTCATTTGAAAGGCTATTTTGACCTTAATAAACAAAATTTTAACCAGGAAGTGAAACCAGTACTCGCAGTCAGACCTTCCTTTTTGTTTCTTCCTCCTCCTCTTGTGAACTTCTTCACACTTGGTGGCATCAAGCTTAATTGTGATGTCACATTAATTTGAAGCTTGACATTTCCGTCTATTCTATACAGTATAGAGGTGTAAGCAAATTGCAGGTCAACTTTCGTAAAGTTCGACTAATAGGTGTGCTGTAAAGCGAAGGTGGACTCTGCGTAACTCTAACTAGCATTTAAAGGGAGTCGATCCCTTAGGTATGCAATTACTACTTGTTGTTTTTGCTAGTACAGAGTCACTTCAAAAGCTACACCAGCCAGAGGTACCACTTTGTTTCAGTTAACTTAAGAAGTATTTGGGTAGGTCTAAATGTTTTAAACCATTCAAAGAGTGTAAATTCTTCCCTTTTTTAGGAAATTTAGCAGATATGATTATATTTTTCAGGTAAAATGAATAATTTTGGCTGTCATTGTTAAGACAATGTTTCATACTACTTAATTTACTGGTACCTTTCGATGGATATTATTTTAGGGTTATGTCAAAACTACTCGTTCGGCCATAAAATTTGCCCAAGGCTTGAGTACTTAGAGAAAATTTGCTTGGCATTTCTATAAACCATTTGCTTCAGCTGTTATCTCGACTTCCTCCTTCACTTCAATTAGTAAGCTGGACTTGAAAGGACAAACTCATTTACTGTGAATTAGAATCAAGAAGGAAAGATGGCATAGCTGACTGCCCTCCAAAACGAAAACTGATGATGAACTTTTTAAATGTTTTGCCACAGCGTGAATATGAGAAAACTATTGTAGCTATCACCTTTCAAGGTAAATGGAACACTAAACACTTCCCATTTCCCTGCTATGTAAATAATGCTGACGTAAATATGCAAAGGTTGCATTGTATTGGTTCCATATTTTTTCAACTTTGTCTATATAATAACCAAAATTTATGAACCAAATAAAAGGAGGCAATAATAAAGTCAACAGACTGTACCTATAAAGCACTACGGGTGAGTCTTTAGCTTTATGGTTTAGTTTCGTGGACTCTGAAGGCTCCACCTTTTACTTCCTCTTGGTAGCATTGCCTCTGAGTCATGCTAGCAGCCCCAGCTGTACGCCGCGGCGGCATTTCGTTTCCTGTCTTACTAATATGGCTTCTTTTAAATTCAGGGAAACTTTGGGACCCCATGTTGTAGGCAGCAAATAGCGAACCCACTCCTAACGGACACCCAGAATTTCAGTAATTTTTTATCGGAAGTCTCAGCTCTAGTCACTCCAATACGGGAGTTAATGGGATATTCTAAGCACTTCAAAACTACGTAGAAAACCATTGGCACTTTGTGGGGGAAACCTGACAAAGAATCGTAGTCGAAACTATTTTGCATAGGATATCATCCTCCCACCTGACCCGACCCACGCAAATAGGTCATTAATTATGCTGACATAGACGTTCATTTCAGTTTTAGTTTGATTTTCTTTTCACAAAGGCTGTTAAAAGAAAACATCACAGGAGGGCTGCTTTCTCTATGTGCTTTTTCTTAACTACTCGAAATGCCATTCCAAGTGAGATGAGGACATTTTTCCTTGCCAAGAGAAAGCGGCGAGTCTAGTGGCATTCTTTTAGGCACAAATGCACAGCCGCCGTCAACTTTGGATGCAATGAAATGAACAATTCAAAAGGCCTCATGTTCAATCACTCTTAACTTGTGGCCACATATTGCGCCTGACCACAAGAAATGACATCTTCAATCAAAAGTTTAATTGCTCTAGCTTTCCTATGTGGGTTCAGAGAAGGAATTTTGTGACACCACTAAAAAATCCTAATCGACAACCAGGTCTACAGCTGAAGTTAGGTTGCTATGTCCCATTAGGATATGTGGACGGAGGGACATTAGAACTGAGAAATAGGGGTCCCAAAAGGCAAGCCTTGAAAGCAGGCTGGGGAAGTAGACACTAAGGTAGGCTAGATAAAATTCTACCTTTTATCTTGATTAGTTCAGCACAGATGAATGTTAACAGTATGTGCCCCATTAGCCCATGAAAGCCATTTGCGACCCTGAAGTTCTTACAATGAAGAAAGGCGCCTTCCTATTGGCTGTTGTGAGGCCCCTTCTGACAGAACAACTACCGAAAATTGGAACTTGGTTACAATAAGCTGAGGGAGTATAATAAAGGGAAAGGTGTTAAACTCTCCTAATAGCCATAGGTTACAACTAAATTTGACTCGTAAATGACTGAAAAAGAAAAGGATGTGGTAAAATCTGTCATGTCGTACAGGCTGGTCGAATAAAATATGAGATTTGCATGACGGTTAATAACAGAGATTAGGAGACGATACCTTTGACCTGTCACACCTGGCTCTAGAAATGCACTGTTCCCTTGAAGAGCATTTGATCTTTACAGCTATTGCGTCGTTACTTTCACCCACCCCAGAGCGTTGCAGTGGAATAAACACGGGTTTAAATTGTGTGTTTTAGGCTAAGATTCTTCATATTTTAACTGCATTGTTCATACACAAATGCGGTAATGGCACTTAAGTAGATATCTCTTCCATCCGCCTATTTATAGTTGGGTGTCAATTCATTCTTCATAATTCTAGTAGACATTGTTGGCATTCTTGTTGACAACTCACTTTTCAATTCCTTTGCTTACAAACTTGTAATACGCAAATCGTTCATTGAACACTTGGTTCTGGTTTAGGGCCAATCAGGAGCTCTGCCATTGTACCCTTGCCTGGCGACGTAGCCTCCAGGCCATGCCAGCAGCCCCAAAACCCTTCTTTGCCTCAATAATGCATATTCTGCTCTAGTATCGTGTCTTTCTATGCCTTCAGAGAAGCCTCAAAGGCCCTACAACTTGTCTTCTCAGAAGAGGGAAAAATTAGCTATCGACTTAGGAAGAGGGTAGAACAAACTCATTTCAGTATTTTTTTGGCCATAGGCATTAATTTTTCATCTAGCAATCTTAATCACTGGTTGCTCAGTCGCATTTCTAAGTTTTTATAAAAATGGAAGTATTAATTAGAGGCAATAAGCGTTCATCTGAGCAAAGCAACATTCTTATTTAGTCTAACACCACCCAGAGGCCTTAAATAAAGCAACGTTTTAGTAATAGAAGAAAAAATTTATCAAGAAAATGTCACAAATTAATGGGATTTGAACAATTACCATTTGGTGTTTTATAAGTAGACGTTTTCTTAACCAAGTCTTAAAATTCCTTCAGAATATCAATCTAAACGAAAAAATTGAATTCAGCGAGTTGGTAGAAGTTAAAAGACAATTTTGTTTCTTTTTGCAACTTTAAGAACTAGTTTTGTCTACCCACAGCCTTTAACGTGGTCTTTTGTTATTGTCAGCAACTGTAACCATAAAATCATTCATAAAGCAATTCGTGCACATAAAACATAATTTGGAGAGGTACTGGTAGGTTCAGTAGGAAAGGAACACGTTCTTCTACACAAAACCAGCAGAAAGGAGGCAAACTTTCCCTAGTAGACGCAATAAACAATGTTTTGGTAAATAGAAAAATCGTATCCACCAGATGGAACAATCGAGTTGCCACCAGACAATTCCGGCGAGTCCAATAGCTCTGTGCGGAAAGTGAGGCAAGAATTAGGACCGGGTGCGGAATTCTCTCTCGCAGCCTTATATCTGTCGACACCCGGAAGAGTGCAAGAATCAAAAACCTGCCGATCTAAGACA